AATATTAGATTTTATATGTGTGTGTGTGTGTCCATTAATTAATGTTCTACCATAAGATTGTAGAAAAATAGCATACCAGACATGTAGCCTTGTTGATGGTATCAGCACTGCGATTAGAAAGCTCTTTAGCATCATCCAAAACGGACAGCATCAAATCCATGAAATCTTCTTCTCCCTTAGCTGTCCCAGAAGCCTTCCTCTGCTTGTGCTCTTCTAACCATTTTTCAACCGCATGGTCTAGATTTTTTGCTGTCCTTTTCATTGCCTTCTCAGCTCCTCCCAAATCCAACCATCTTAAAAATGGAAGTGCGTCGGACACTACAAACATTCCTGACAATTCTAAAAATGTTCTCAGTGAATCCCTCCATTCATCGCTCGCCTTTTCCTCTCCATGGCTTGCATGATCCACATATCGCTTGCTAACAATTATCTTCAATATAATGTTTAAAGTTATGTCGTTAAACCATCTCTTCATCTCCACCAAAAGCTTTTGTGAATTACTTTTGTTCAGGATCCATTGCTGGTATAACGCGCCTACAGCATCCCTTACCTCATCCTCTCGAACGTGTTTGAACATCTCCAGTCGATGATTAGAGAGAACCTCAAGAGTGACTATCTTGCGTATCAGACGCCAATAAGTTCCGTAGGGGCTAAAACTAAGAATGCTGTAATTGTAGCCCAAGATATCCATTGCAAGAGTTTTAGGTCGAGTAGCGAAAGCTTTGTCATTGATCCTCAGACACTCCTTGGCCATCTCCCAGTTACTCACTATCAAAGCTCGATGGACTCCAAGCTTGACGGTGAATATCGGACCATGCTTGTCAGCCAAGTTTCCCAACGTTATATGGGGCGGTTGTGAGCCTCTTAGAAGATGGAGATGGCCAATAAGGGGCCATGCACCGGCAGCTTCCGGCGGTGCTCTCTTCTTGCTTATCCCCTTTCCTGGAATCCGAAACAAATAGTAGATCGTGGGCGTAATAAAGGCAAACAGAATAAGTACAGCACTTGCTGAGAACTGAAAGGGGAAATCCATGAATTGGTTTGGAGCTGTGCAGTGATCGATCAAATATTCAAAATTATATATAGTACTTGTGATATTGTGGATGTGTATAAGATGATCGATTCGATATTTGATAAACGGGTCCGGCGTCGGCCATGCGTCCCTATCATCTTGATTGTCTTTAGTGCATATATATCGATAACTTGATATTTAGGATTTCAAGAGAAGATGCGATATCAGTAGTTGATTTAATAAATTATAAATGTCAATAATTGTTAATTATTTTAAAAAAATAAATTAAACAGGTCTATTTATTGTTGCTCTAGACCTTAATATTAATACTTGGAAAGTATCCTTATTAAAAGATATAAGGGTAATATAGAATTTAATTAGCATTGCTATTTTCAAACTAAATGAAAAAAGAAAAATTCTCAAATAGCTTTAGCCGACGGCAGCGAGCTACTATAATTTATTGGGAAACGTGCTGACAAAATTGATTTGACAATTAACTTATTATACCCGGCTATGTTTGAAAGTATAGTTGGTGTTATTTTTAAAATAATTTTTTATATTAAAATATATATTAATAATTTTTTTGTATTTTTAAAAATTAATATATTAAAATAATTTAAAAACATTAAAAATATATTAATTTAAAATTAATAAAAATATTAATTTTTTAAAAAATATTTTTAAAATATAAAAACAAGCGGGCCTCCAGTCTGCGTAGCTTTATTTCTTACAGTCTGGAAAAGTCTTTAAGCGTGTTTCATTAAACAAATAAGTAGGTTTTGAAATTCACGGTGGCTTCGATTTTGGATTGGATTCCTTGATTTGACAGGTGTTATTGAAAATGGATTTATTTAGAATCTGTTTTTAGCAATGTTGTTCAAGAAATGCCGGCAAAAGAATTTGGACTCGCATCTGGTCAAACTTGTGTCTTGCCTAGATTTTGTGAGAGATAACTGAGAAGAAAAAACTTATTTTGAATTTTTTAAAGCTTTGATTTTTATTTTTATTTTTGGTAAATTAGTCAAACAAAAATTAATAAAGCTATTTCAGCGGTAAAACAATTAATTTAGTAATGCCAGTAGCCTACCCAAGATTTCGAGCAATCACAATCATAGTCGGGGCCTAAAAGTAAGATTCACTATTTAAAAAAAAATTCTTCTGCCCTGTTTTTTTATATCATAAATACACTGGACGCGATAAATAAATAGGTGGCCACTTTTAAAAGTCAAATTTTCAAGAAGATTATATCAATTCGAGGTTCTTGTTCAATCACACATTTACATATGAATTAAAAAATATAATTGATCATATTCGAACAAGGAATATCTTCTCCCACTAAAGATATATTTATCTATTAATTATTGTGAGTGGAGCGCTCACTTACTACTATTTTTACCTGTTATATTTTGGTTTTTTATACTTTTTATTTTTATTTTTCTTTCTTTTGCTTTGTGGGTTTTTTGTTCCTTATTGTTATCTCGTTTTCGTTTTGGGCATGCATTCCTCGAGCTTATCCCAAGAAAAAAAAAATTGTGATGTCTCATGTCTTATATTAAAAAAAAAAAGTGTTTAATGTTGAGTATTATAACATATGTTTTAATGACTTCTATGCACTGTAAGTTCCTTACAACTAAGGAGGATAGAGTTTAACTTAATATTCAAGAATTTATAAATTATATATGATGATGATATTTTAAAATACTGTATGCTTGGAAATAATATTTTTTTATGTTTGGATAATAGATAATTATATATTTATGTCAATAATTAATTTTTCAAAACTTTCTTGTCACTATTTATATGTTTGGCAGGGCAGTAACAATATTTTTTTTCGGGGAAGAGAAAAACAAAGCAAAAGTTGCCTGAAATCTTATCCAAACACCACTGAGCAATTTATTATGCCAGCACAATGATTTAAAATCCAATTAGATTTTACTGATGCATTTCTACTCTTTGTTTTTCATTTTTGTAATGTTTTTGCAACAAATCATGATGTCAGCTACGCACTAACACACTCAAGTAACGACACGTTGTTATTTCCATTTTCATTCATTATATTGACACAAGCACAAGTCTGATTCAGCAGGGCAGTAACAATATGTGTGCTTCATTGCGGGATATTTCTCAGGCAAATTTTGTTCTTACCTGTTAACACAAATAAATTACAAACAGACACCTCCCTGAATATATCCAAAGTCCGGACATGCTTTGTGTTCCACTCATCACTTTCATTTCTTCGATGCGCATATTGGTGTCCCTTTCGTCCACAATGTTTTTTACTAATTATTCATAGTCATTCTCTTTTTATCTTCCATTAATATCTCAGTTTAACTTTTCCACACTCGATGCTACATTTATCTTTTGATGCAAGGAGACTAACATGTAACCAATGTGACAAGGATTCTTCAAGCCCACAGCCTATTCAATTAAAAGATTTAAAAAAAACAAGTTTGTTACACTTGAGATTGTGGCCCAATAATTATGGGAGGTACTTGTTTTTTTTTCTAACATTCAGGTTTAATTTTTCCATGTGCATATTTATCACACTCACGATATATTATTTATTTATTGGATATTTAATAAATTTGAAAATTAATTATGATATATATAAACTAAATTAAATACCTGAATTCCAAAAGAAAAAAGTTTCTTGCTTTGTTGTTGAGGCTTGCAAGCCTATTAATTTGCACATGTCTATTTTATCCATTTTGTTATTAAAATATTATGATATGTACGTTGAAGGGCTATTACTTTTGTTTGAATATGAAGGACATTGCTATGCTCTGAAATCTCTTTTGTTCAATGTTTTGAATCAACATTTTCATACGTTTAAGATTGCTTTCAGTGACTTAATTGACATTTAAGTAGTGATTTTCTTTTTTTCTTTGTTCTATTGTTATCTAATTAAAATTGCCATCTTTATTCAATTTCAGAAACCATTTGTTGTTACAGGAAACACTTTTATTTTCCACCATGTTCATATCTTCCTAGGAAAACTATAAGTAAAATCCCGTGGTTGGATAAAAAGCTAGTTATCCTTGAAAAACAACAGTTTCCTGGGTATTTGAATTATAGTACAATAAGCTCTTTTTTTCTTTTATATCTAGTTTTCTAAATAAATTTATTAATTGTGCTAATTAATTTGAAAGAAACATTCATGATTGTGATCTCATTGGACTTTAAAACCACCCCCGGACCTGTTTTAATAAATTTATAATTTAAAAAAAAATGATTTGTCAAGGGGATAACCGTGACCTTTAAGTTGATGTATGCAATAAATTTCATCTTTCGATTGCCTAGACGGTAAATTTTACATTCCAAGCAAATATTGTAAATTTCTGTTATAATAATTTGCCTCATTTTATACACAAATATCCCATATAATTAAAGAATAATATAAATTATAATTTGAGATTTTAATTTATTTAAAATATAATTTATATTATTATTTATCATACTTTTTTAAATAAAAACTCTTTAAATTTAAAATTTATATATGTTCATTCTATAATATATTATTAATTAGATTTTAATTTGTTTTCACAACTACAAGGTATAAAGAATAACCTCTGATTGTCTGAGGGCCAGGTGATGGGGCTCAAGTAACAGTTGGTGGAATATTCAACGACATATTGCGACTGGCCTCTTATCCTGGAGCTCCATCATAGGAGCATTGATTTTCCTAGGTATCAGTTGGTCTTGACTCATTTTGCCTTCTTTCTAGTTATGCTTTTCCGCAAAGGTAGTGCTCGAGTTGTCATGTACTGTAATTGTTCTCTTAAAATACGAGCTTAGTTTTGCCAACATATAAGCATATGATTGACCTTCCTTAATTTCTTGCATCAGATCTCGTGGATCCTGGAAAGTTCGAAATGTTAAATGTAAGCTTTCACGGATGTTCTCACTTGATATAATGTGATATGACATGCATTTCATTTTGTAAAGAAAAAAAAAAAGCAATAATAATCCCAACTTCAAATATTATCATTCTCATTCTAATTAATAAAAATTAAACATAAAATTGTATATATTTATACAAATTTCAATTTCAAAAAGTCTTTACTTGAGGGAGCATGTTAATAAATAATATAAAATATCTATAAAACTTCACAAAATAGCTTAAACTATCGAATTGAATTTGTTCTTTGATATAATATTATAGTCTTGTTCATCAAAGAATTACGAGTTCGAATCTCAATACTCTCATTCTCTCTTCCAATTAAAATCTAATTAATAATGTAAAATAGTATGCAATTGTGCAAGTTTCAAACCCTATTTAAGTTTTTAAGTGAAATAGTTCTTTGATATAATATCATGTTCTTGATGGCTAAAAGATCACAAGTTTTAATCTCATCACTTATATTCTCTTTTTCAATTATTAGCACTTTATGAGGTATCCTTGAAATAAGTATCAGCAAATTCTACTAATTTTGTAGACTTACGAATATGTATGGATTGATGTAAAGGTAGATCCACAACCTTAAACGGAGCTAAAAGAACCATGGAGGAGAATGCATCTTTAAGTGTGCCAAAGAGTAAAATATCAGTACCTCGAGAATGATCATTTTGAATTGATCAAACATGAGGAGGGGTATTTGAGGCACTAGAAACCTTAGATAATGAACTATCAGAATCCTCAAAAAAATAATTTATACAAATAAGATCAGATTTAATCAAGCTTTGAGTAGTAGATGGAATGGAATAGAAAAGTATATGCTCGAGAAAGACAACATGATGTAATACATAAAGTTTTTGAATTATTAAATTAAAATAACAATACTCCTTTTTTACCTTTATCATAACTAAGAAAAACACAAATAACAAATTAAGAGGTTAACTTGTTGCATTCTACATGAGGATAAAGAACAAAACAAATATAACTAAAAACTATAAAAAAAGAATAATTAGGGGCATACCTTTATATCTTTTTAAAATAAAATTGTATTAATCAAACCTACAACAGTAAGAACAATTTTGCCACTAAAATACCTCAAAAATAACACACTAGAATCTAAAGTAGACATGCCCGTAATTAACATATATATATAAGACAATGGACATCAAAGAAAGGCCATTTGAAGATCATATATTATGATTTTTCTTTATTTGTAACCAATCATTAAATAAAAAATTAAAATGCATGTGTTTAG